TTGACTTCTTCTTTGCCAATCTGAATACCTTGTATTTCTTTTTGTTGTCTGATTGCTGTTGCTAGGACTTCTAGTACTATGTTGAACAATAGTGGTGAGAATGGGCATCCCTGACGTGTTCCTATGTTAAGGGAAAGGCTCTCAGCTTTTCCCCATTGAGGATGATATTCCCTGTGGGATTTTCATAGATGGATTTTATGAACTTGAGGAATGTTCCCTCTATCCCTATACTCTGAAGAGTTTTAATCAGGAAAGGATGTTGTATTTTGTCAAATGCTTTTTCTGCATCAATTGAGAGGACCATATGGTTCTTCTCCCTCCTCTTATTAATATGATCTATCACATTGATTGATTTTCGAATGTTGAACCCCAACCACCCTTGCGTCCCAGGGATAAATCCTACTTGGTCGTGGTGGATGATCCTTTTAATGTATTGTTGGATCCTATTAGCTAGGATTTTGTTGAGGATTTTGGAATCCATATTCATCAGGGATACCGGTTGGAAATTCTCCTTTTTGATGGGGTCTTTGCCTGGTTTGGGGATTAAGGTAATGCTGGCCTCACAGAATGAGTTTGGAAGTTTTCCTTCTGTTTCTATTTTTTGAAACAGCTTCAGTAGAATAGGTATTATTTCTTCTTTGAATGTTTGGTAGAATTCCCCAGGGAATCCATCAGGCCCCGGACTCTTGTTTTTTGAGAGGTTTTTGATCACTGCTTCAATCTCGTTACTGGTTATTGGCCTATTCAGGTTGTCAATTTCTTCCTCTTTCAGTCTTGGCAGCTTATAGGTTTCCAGGAAGGCCTCCGTTTCATCCAGATTGCTCAATTTATTGGCATATAGTTGTTGATAATAATTTCTAATAATTGTTTCTATTTCCTTGGTGTTAGTCGTGATCTCTCCCCTTTCATTCATAATTTTATTAATTTGGTCCTTTCTCTTTTCTTTTGGATAAGTCTGGCCAGTGGTTTATCGATCTTATTAATTCTTTCAAAGAACAAACTTCTAGTTTCGTTGATCTGATCTACTATGTTTCTGGTTTCTAATTCATTGATCTCTGCTCTAATCTTAATTATTTCTCTCCTAATGTGTGGCTTAGGCATCGTTTGTTGCTTTTTCTCTAGCTCTTCAAGGTGTAGAGTTAGTTGGTGAATTCGGGATTTTTCTATTTTTTTGAGTGAGGCTTGGATGGCTATGTATTTCCCCCTTAGGACCGCCTTTGCAGTACCCCATAGGTTTTGGACCGATGTGTTTTCGTTCTCACTGATTTCCATGAATTGTTTAAGTTTGTCTTTGATTTGCTGGTTGACCCAAACATTCTTGAGCAGAGTGGTCTTTAGCTTCCAAGTGTTTGAATTTCTGCCAAATGTGTTCTTGTGATTGAGTTCCAGTTTTAAAGCATTGTTGTCTGAGAATATGCAGGGAATAATCTCAATCTTTTGGTATCTGTTGAGACCTGATTTGTGACTCAGTATGTGGTCTATTCTGGAGAAAGTTCCATGTGCGCTCGAGAAGAATGAGTATTCTGTGGTTTTAGGGTGGAATGTTCTGTATGTATCTATGAGGTCCATCTGGTCCATTGTTATCATTCAAAGTTCTGGTTTCCTTGTTGATTTTCTGCTTAGATGATCTGTCTATTGCTGAGAGTAGAGTGTTGAGGTCTCCTACAATTAACATATTGTTATCAATATGACTCTTTATTTTGGTTGACAGCTGGCTTATGTAGATGGCTGCTCCCATGTTGGGGGCATAGATATTTACAATTGTTAGATCTGGATTTTTATTTTTATTTGTTTTTGAGAGGGGGCGGGAGAGGGGCAGAGGGAGAGGGAGAGAGGTGGGGCTTGATCTCACGACCCTGAGATCATGACCTGAGTAGAAATCAAGAGTCGGATGCCTAACGGACTGAGCCACGAGTTAACTGGATTTTTAAAAAGAATAAAAAGGAACAGACAGATCCCTAGTACCTGGCACCTGCCAGTTACTCAATACAGGTTTCATTTGTTCATTCCACAACTATTCATTATGTTAAGTGCCAGGGATGCAGTGAGGAGAAACAGACATGGCTCCTGCCTCCATGAACCTTAAAGTCAAGCAGGGAAGAGAGACAGCAATCAAAATCACAGAGATAAATATAAAACTTCAATGGGGTGCATGCTACGCAGAGCAAGTTCATCGTTCTAGAAGAGTCAATAACTAGCCACAGACAGCTGGCTCAAGGAAGACTTCCCAGAGAAGGGACTTTTGAACTAAGATTTAAAGAATGCCTAAGTATCAACTGGAGAAAAGTAGGGGCCACATTCAAAGAAAATAGCAAGTGCAAAAGCCCTAAGGAAGGAGAGGGCTCAAGCAATAGTAAGAGGCCAGCAGAGTGACCAAGAGGCAGAGGAGGAGATGAGGCATAAAGGTCAGCTGGGGCCAGACATGGGACCCTGGAGGCTTGAAGTGGTAGGGGAAGCCATCAAAGACTCTATCAAAGGGTTTCAAACAGAGGGATGACAGGTTCCAATTTGCATTTTAAAAAAAGATCCATCTGGTTGCCGAGTGGAGAATGAGTGGGGTGGGGCAAAGCAAAGGGCACCAAATGAGGGTACCCAATGAGTCTGGAGAGAAAGATAGGGGGGTTACACAGGGCCACCCAGGAGAGCTGGCTAGGTGAGCACTGCACAAGGACACTCAGCTGAGGACTGAGCCATGTGCCCCAAGTGGAGCTGCCTCTGCCCAGAGGGTGTCTTTTGCTAATAGCTGCCAGGCAGGAATGCTTGTTGCTAATTCCCACAAAGGCTCTTCAGGGCTCTGGCCCGGTAAAATGCAATAAGGGACCTGCATTCACTTCTCCATGCACCAGTACCTGCCAATGCCCCACCCTGTCCTGAGCCAGCCTCGAGTGTTGAGACCCAAGGCAGAGCTGCAGCCTGAGAGGCCTCTCCACCCAGCACTGGCCAAGGATGGGAACTACTTGGGCTACGTGGGGGCAAAGGCAGTGGGGCCCGGTAACATTTCAGGCCCTGTCCGTCACCTGCTGTGGCCTGGGAGGCCACACTGGACCACAGGCACGGGGGGATCCCATTTCAAAGCCCCGTTCCTGAGCTGACTGCCAGGTGCTGGCAGCTCAGCCAGCTGCCCAGCTGGGGGACATGGAGGAAGAGGGAAAGCCAGTCAGCAATGAAAAGGAGCCAGCTGGGGAAGGGAATGGAGAGCAAGCCTCAGCGTCGCAGAGACTGATGCCTACTGTAGGCCTCAGCCCACCAGAGGGGAACCCCTCCTGTTCCTCAGCACTGAGGACCCACTTAGGAGACACCAAATCTCCCAACAGAGTCATGCAGGTAGAGGGAGGAAGGGCCCTGATCCGAGAATCAGGAGGCCTAATACAGACTCTGATGGTAACTAGCTGGATGACTTTGGGACCCCCAAGGTTCCCACGGTATCCCTTCTGCGGGTCTCAGGCCCCCCATCTGTCCATCTGTTTGCACTGACATGCTCACGTGTGGCTGGGCTGGAAGGCACGAGGGTGGTTGTCCATCCTCGGCCCCAACTTACTGGCCATGTTACTCCAGACAGCCATTCCACTTTGGGGCCTCAGTTTCTTCCCTGAAAATAAAGTGCCCACTTCACAGGCTGGTTGTGAGAATTACACATGATAAGGCCTACAAAGCAATGAGTTCGGTGTCTGGCACACAGTAAGTGTGTAGTAAAAGTGGTTGGGTAGCCCTTGTCAGTCCCCTGCCGGGATATGGTCACCCCCAGGGCCCCTGGTGTCATGAGGCTGAGACACAACAACAGCAGGAACCAGGGCTACCGATGAAGATCCGCCCCCACCCCCAGGACCTCAGAGGGGCGCATATTGGTCAGAGCCACAAGACAGGCAAAGGTGACCACCAGCTGCGTTTGCTGAACACGGAGATGACAAAGCAAGACAGCTGCCATTTGTTGGGTGGCTCAGGGTGCCACCCACTGTCATCTTCAACATGGCACCAGATGAGTTGAATATCCTGCCCAAGGTCACTCTGCTTATAAATGATGGAAAGATGTGAACAAGGGCCTGGATTTTTCAGCCCCTACTCTTACACTGATCTGGGAATCCAGCACCCATGGGAATTGGAAAGTGAGTGTCTCCAGACCTCTGGAGTCCATAAACCCTCTGGGTTTGACAAACCCAATGCACAGCACTGACGCAGGCCTTGTGGAAAGAGCCAACAGATGGAGTTTGACCACCAGAGGGCTCTGTTTGAGCACAAAATCACAGGGCCCTGCTCAAAACCAAGGAGGGTCTTAAGCAATATGGCAGGAAGAGCACGAAGACTAGAATTTCCACTGACCCCACAGTGAGACGGTGAGCCTGTCCCTGCTCCCTGGGGCCTCATGTCCACCCTCTGTAGAGCCAAGAATTGGGGCTAGACAGGATCCAAGCTCTGGTGTACCAACTGTGCCTGCTGCTTGGTCTGCAGAGACTACAGGAGATCTATGCGCTGATGTAAATTCTACTACATAAGTGGCGGTTGAGGCCCTGGACTCATCACACAGTGGTTACGACTAAAGCTTCTGCAGCCAGACTGCCCGGATCTGTGCTTATTAGAGAGATGAGTGGAGGCACATTTCTTCACCCTTCTTTGCCTCAGTTTCCTTTTCTCTTAAATCAGGATGACATCCACCTGCCTTAGAGGATGGCTGGTGGGTGTTAGGTGAGTTCATTCTTCACACAAAGCACAGGGACAGTGCACAGTGCTGGGCGAGCACTCAGTAAATGTCAGCCATTGCGATGTTCTTCAGGACTGAGGCTCAGAACCAAACTTAATGAAGTTCATGGCAGGGAATGGAAGAGTCCAGAAGAAAAGAAAAAACAGACAACGGAGGCAGTCTGAGGTTATGCCACTGAAAAGCCATAAACCAGGCCAGCGTTTCCCAGAGGGTGCTCTGTGAAGTAAAGGGCTTTGTGATCAAGCCAGCTGGGGAACAAATCTCACCAGGTTGTTCTACTGCAGGACTTCTAAGGGCCTTCAATTTCTTGGCCCATAAAACCTTCTTTTAGTGGCGGAGCATCCTGCTGCATTAATGCGTGAAAGCACACACAGTGGGAACCCCTCATCTGAACCAGGCTCCTCCCTACACTGAGCACAGGGCCCAGGGCACCAGAGGGCCCACGAATGCCTGGGGACACATGGCCCCCACCAGCGCACATGGGCCCCTTCTGACCCACTCCTGCTCTTCTCCTAGCTCATGCCAAAAAAGAACCTGCTTTAGGACCTGTGCACTTACTGTCACCTCTGCCTGGAACGCCCTTTGCACCAAGAGCTATGCGTCTCCTTGTCTCCCTTCCTCCCAGTCACTTTGTCAAAGTGGCCATTGTATCAAAAACGGCGTCAACTGCCCATACCCATCACCCCCTGTGCCCTTTCCCGGCTTTATTCCTTCTTGTACTTATTACCACTTGCCACATGGTGTGTCTACTTGTTCGTTGCCTGTCACCCACCCCACCCCACTGCACTGAAATGTCAGCTCCATGACAGCAGTGACTGCACACTCCGATTACCACCGTGTCCCCAGTGCCTAGCAGAGGACCTGGAACACAGTCAGCACGCAGTAAATATTTGCTGAATGAAGAAGCAAATGTCCCCAAGCACCTACCTAGTCCCTACCGCCCATCTTGAAGCCAGAGCCTCTAGAGCCCCCATCCAGCTGTTCCCCCACAGATAGCTTCTCTACGACACTTTCAGCAAAGACTCTGACCCCAGCAGTCGTTCTGGGTGCCCCGCGGAGCCCAGAGTAGCTCACCTGCCCATTGGGATTTCCTTCTCCTCTTTCCTCCAATGCAAAATGGCTCTGTTCAGGAGGTGCATAAATGCCACAGCGCACCGGAGCCAAGAGGAAAGACCACAGGATCCAGAGCCGAGACTGCCTCAATCTGAGTTCAAATCCCAGCTCTCCCACTTCCAGGCTACCTAGCCTCAGATACGTAACCCTCCTAAGGCCTTGGTTTACCCATCTGCAAAATGAGGGCACACCCGTCTCTTAGGGAAGACTGCCATGACGTTCGAGGAACCAAGCCTCTCCTACCTCACACCTGTTCCCGGGGCTTCCTTTAGGCAAGTGCCTGCGGTGTGCCAGGCAATCCCCCTGCCATGTGCTCTTAATAAAAACTAATATTTATTTCTTTAAAGATTTTATTTATTTATTTGAGAGTGCGCAAGAGCACCAGTGGGGGGTGGGGCAAAGGAAGAAGCAGGCTCCCCGCTGAGGGGCTCAATCCCAGGACCCCGGGATCATGACCTGAGCTGAAGGCAGACGCTTAACCCACTGAGCCACCCAGGCGCCCCTCACAGCTAATATTTAAAAAGCACTTATTAGACACCAGGCACTAGGTGCTCCAAGTGCTTTACATATACTCACTCACTTCTCCTTCATGACAATCCTAGGAGGTAGGTGCACCACTCTACCCATTTTACAGATGAGGAAAGTCAGACACTCAGCTATGGAGTGTAGAAATGGGACTCAAACTCAGCCAGAGTATGCACTGCTTGGGGGCCCCAGCTCCGCGTACCTTGAAGAAGCCGATGATGCCCACACCGTAGGCCACACAGTACTTGTCCAACAGCTCCCGGTTCCAGGCGTCCAGGTTGACATACTTGAGGATGTTCTCATAAATGATAAGGGCGAAGCGGCCACGGCCCTTGTCAGTGAGCGTGGGCATGTCCCCCTTGCCCGGTGCGATCTCCGTGCGGTACTTGAAGCGGCTGGACTCCAGGATGGCCACGACCTCCTGGCCCAGTTGTGAGTAGAGGCTCTCCACAAACACCAGCACCAGTGGGTCCGTGCGGGAGGGCGCGGCCGCCTGCATGGGCTTGAGCGGCAGCAGGCGGCTGGGGGCCACGGGGGGCGGGTCCCCACAGTCAGGCTCAGGGGCATCCGCCGAGGGCTCCAGGCCCCGCTTCCAGCCATACAGGTAGTAGGCCGAGACAAAAACGCTGAACAGGCAGAAGACGAACAGCAGGAAAAGTACCGCCTGTGGGGACACATGCCGACACAGCCTCCGGAGGCGCGCCAGGGCGGGCATCCTGGCCCCCGAGACCTCGGCCGCTGGAGGCCCGTGTGCCCTGGCCACCCCCAGGCCCCACGCAGGAAATACCAGAGTCGTCCACTGACCAACAATTTCACAGACACTTAGCAAGCGCGGCCCTCGGTGGGCAGCAGGAGTGGAGGATCCGGGCCCCCGGCCCTTCCTCCCAGCCAGGGGCACAGTCTGCAGGCCGGTCGCGCTCCTTCCTTCCTCTGCGCCCCTTTATGTCACCATGGCAAACCCCCACGTGGTCCTGTGCACAGCAGAAGTGCCCCCAGGGCGTCAGGGTCTCCTGGGGGGGTTGGGCAGCAGGCCGAAGGACACTGGGCAGGCCTGGGGGCACCACATGCTGCTCGCTTGGTGGGGCCCCCGGGGCCAAGGCTGTGGAGAGAAGAGGAGAGCCAGAGGTGAAGTCAGAGCATGGGCTTTGCGGGGGGTCCGCTGACTGTGGACACACAGGACCTGACCTCGGTGGGCCCAAGCTCAAGTACTATTGCCCAATCTGGCTGCATGATTTCACACAAGCTTTATAGTCTCTCTGAGCCTCAGTTTCCCTACTTGTGAAACAGGGCTGACAACAGTACCTGCCTCACAAGAGGCTCAGGGCATAAGTCCCTAATCCTAATGAGTATAATGTGTATAATATAGTGTCTGCGACGGTGGTTGCTATTTTTTTATCATTATCAGAGTCCAAGACTAGACCAAGCGAACTCCAGGTGCAGGAAGGACAAAGTGAAACAAATATTTGCAAGGCCTGGGAGCTAGAGGTGGAATTCTAAATCACGGCTGAACACCCCAACCTCACCGGCTCCTCCTCACCCACAGTGCCTCCCCCCGCCATTTCTCTCTCTCTGAATGGGCTGAGCAGCCTCATCAGGCAGCCAGAACTTGGGGTTCCCAGGTCCCCTTCAACCCCACCATCCCCGCCCAGAGCAGGCCACCTGTATTGGTCTCACTGGAAAGTAAATGAAGACCACACACCCACACCCACTAAACCAAGGCCCCAATTTCCTCACCCCAAATAGCAGCCCCCAGTCCCCCATACACATGAGTGGATGCAGCCGCTGAAAGCTAGCAGGAGACAGATGGGGATGGGGACAGGGACAGAAGGTGTGAAGGTCTGGGCCGACCCAGCCGGGGGGGAACAGAAGCCTCAGACCCAGAGCTGGGGGTGAAGATCTTGAAAATCCCTCCCAGGCCACAGCGCACCAGAGACCCAGCAGCTGCAGTTCTAGGAACTTATTATCCCAGGCGTTCTAACTGTAGAAGTGCGTACTGATTTCCCCAAAAGAATCCGAATCCCAGGGCTGTTTGTAATAGCAAATGCCCAACAATAGGGGATTGTCCTTAGCAATTATGATGCAAGCATCAGAGAGAATCCCAGGCAGCCACTTACAACTTGTACAAGATGTGGAAGAAGGACATTTACTGACATAGAAATATAATTGCCACACATGTTGTTAAAGTGGAAAACATTTATAAAACAGTACGCATGGTCACATTTCTGTTAAAAATTGTTATGCGTAAGCCAGAAACTGGTACTAAATCCAAACCAAAAAAAACCCAAAATGTTAACAATGATTATCTCCGAATGATTTTTATTTTCTTCTTTTTGTTTCCTAAATTTTCTACAACAATCATTTACTATGTTTGTGAAAATTAAAAAAAAATGTTTTTAAAAGATGTGCTCAGAAGCAAGAGACAGGAGCGTGAAATGAGGATGTGTCTCAGACACCACCACTGCTCCCAGTCCTGCCAATGATATGCTATGTGACTCAGAGCGCATAACCCCTCCCTGGGCTTCCCGCCTATTAGCGAGGAGCTTGGGCCAATCTCAGGCGGGCTCTTCCACCTCCCATATTCTGTAATTCAGTCCCTACTATGTGCCAGCACCCTGGGGAACCACAGGCAGCCAAGAAAACAGGCACCTACAATGCTGGGGGGGGGGGGGCGAGTGTGATAGTGGGGGAAGGGTGTTTGAGAGAACTCAGGGGCACTGAACTCTCCCAGAGGGGGAGGATCAAGGAAGGCTTCCTGGAGGAAATGGTACCTGAACTGACCAGAAGAACATGTGTGGGTTGACCAGGGGTAGGAATGGGGAAGGGCACATGCCTCAGCTTGGAGATAAGGGACAGTGCAGAGCTTCCCAGGGACTCCTTGCAATTCTAGCTGAGAGCAGGGCAAGAGCGAACAGGTTTCCTGGGCGGAGGCTGAAGGGCTGGGGTGACAGTCCCGTTTATTCCCAGGCTGCAACTGCGTCCCATTTCCCCCTGATAAGGGCAGCCCTCTGCCCTGCGGCCACAGTGAGCCCCACCTCTCGGCCTTGGGGCCAGGACCAGAGTGCAGTCGGTGGAGAGGTACAGCTGCCCGGAGGATGCCCTGCCAGTCTGCCACACCTAGGGGCACGTGGCCACTCCGGCCGCCCTACAGTGTTTCTCCTGCAGGACTGGGGGCTGTGATCACCGGCCCTTGGTCGATTGCATTAACAGACTTGCAGCGTGCATGTCAATGATGCACCCAGCAGTGTCAGGCACCTGGGGATCACAGACCCGTGTGGGAAACTGACAACACTTTCCCATAAAAAATATGCATGTAAAAAAAAAAAAAATGCATGTATGCTGGAAAATCTTGTAACAATTTCAAAGAGTCCAGACCCCATGCCCTCAAACCCACCCATGGACCTAAACAATGTAAAGAAAGCCTTATGGTTACACGCAGACCGGAAGCAGGCAGCTTCATTCACACCCACATGCCACCTCCTAGCAGCCGTGTGACCTTGGGCAAGTTGTTTAACTTCTCAGTGCTCCCAGTTTCCTAAACTGTAAAACAGCAAAGTTTGACATGCTCCCATAGTTGTGAAAATTAAATGAGTTGCAGGGCGCCTGGGTTGCTCAGTCATTAGGCGTCTGCCTTCGGCTCAGGTCACGATCCCGGGGTCCTGGGATCGAGCCCCACATCGGGCTCCCTGCTCAGCAGGAAGCCTGCTTCTCCCTCTCCCACTCCCCCTGCTTGTGTTCCCTCTCTCGCTGTGTCTCTCTCTGCCAAATAAATAAAATCTTTAAAAAAAAAAAAAGAAAAGAAAATTAAATGAGTTGATATATATAAAGCACACAGCACCAAATATGGGTCAGCCACTCTCTCCGAGCACACCTGCTGATTACTGAATGTAGGCACAGTGTGGACAAGAACTGAACTCACAAAGCTCTGTCAAGTCAGCTCCATGCTTCCTCTCGAGTCTCTGATAGCCAGTCCTCAGAAGCCCAAATCCCCATTTTCAGAGGCCACGGCCTTTCCCTGGAGCTGGATGGATGAGCAGGGGCCAGATGGTTAGAGGCCAGGAGACCAGGGAGAAAGCCATGGCAAAGCCCAGGCCCAGGAGAGGGTAAAGGCCTCCCCTGTCCCCAGAGAAGGCCAAATACTCTGGAGTGGGGGGCGGGGGAGGGCGAGATGCTGCTTCATGAACAAAGTGCCAGCCCCCAGCATGCTGGCAAGAGGGGCCTTCAGCACTGACCCCCACAGCAACCCCCTCAAAGGCCTGGAGCCAGCCATTCAAGACCTTCCATGCCCACCTGCATTCCAGAGCCCCTGTGGCTCAAGGATGGAGAACTGGGGGGCTTCTAATCCCCTTGCAGCCACCAAGTCCTCCAGGAGAGCTGGAGGCTGAGGCCTCGACGCCCCGCCCCCGCCACCCCGCTGCCCTGGCAAGACCGGGTCTTGCCGACATTGCCAGAGGTTTTCCTAAACTCCAGCCTCGCCCAACCAGTCACCAATCTTGGTCATGCATCTAGGCCTTTGCTAATGAAGTTCCCATTGCCGGAATGCCTCCCCCTCCCCCTTGGGACACTTACTCATCCTTCAAGACCCTAGTTCCAATGTCATCACCTCTCTGAAGTCATCCCCGTGCACCACCCCCTTTCCTGCCCCCAAGTCCCGTTCCTAAGGCTTCTGCCAGCCCCATCCCCACTCCATAGTGTGGAACCAGAAAGCCAGGACCCTCAGGCCAAAACAGGACGCAAATGTGCATTCTCTGGCTTGCACGGCATTTTTCTTAAATTTGAGATTCGCTATCAATATTTCAAAATCAGGAGATTCCACATAAAAGTTAGAACTTCTAACTTTTATAAAAACAGTATGTTCTGCTGACACTGGGCACTCATCCCCACAGGCCACCATCGGTCCCCACAGACATGGACTCTCCAGTTAACACAGTCCCATAGCCAACCTCCTTCCTTCATTTGGCTTCCTGCTCAGTCCCTGGGTGCACCTGAGTGTGAGGTCCATACAGAGTGGACTCGAGGTGTTTCCATACACAACTCTGGAGCCTCCAGATCCCAGGGCGGGGCCAGGACTTACTGACCTCTGCCGGGGCAGGCCCTGCCTGGCACCCGGCAGCTGGCACACAGAGGCCCTCCACAAATACTAATTTCGTTCCTTCTCCTTCCCCACACACGTGGGTGCCCTGAAGGGCAGGGACAAGTCTGATTCATCGTGGAAGCCCCCCACTGCTCTCCCCAGGCATAGGTCCTAATTGAGTACTCAGGATATGAATGAATCATAATGAGCTGTTATTACTCCCAATTTACAGATAAGGAGACTGAGGCTCCAAACTGAAATGACTTGCCACAGTCACACAGGAAACCGCTAAGTCTTGACTCAAATAGGTTTCCTTCCTAACTGCAAATTTGGTCTTTCATTCCTCCATCGGGAGTCCCTCCAAGGGGCTTCTATAATAAAAATAATAACGACAGTGATACCATTATAAACATCATCATTGTTATTTTTACTGCTACACATTTCAAGCACTTACCACAGGCCTGGCACTGTGTTTAGCACTTTCCCACACCTTACCTCATTTAAGCCTACTCCTACTAACTACTACTGTCATTATTTACATTTCCAGTTGAGGAAAATGAGGCTCAGAGAGGTTAAGTCACTTGCCCAAAACCACACAGCTAGTCTGTGCCAGAGCTGAAATTTGAACCCAGACCCCAGGAGACAGAAGTGGCTCCAGAGTCCGGCAGGGACACCTCGGCTGCGATGGGGGACAGCAGGAGGGGACCTCAGCCACCGAGGCCTCGAGCCATCAGCCAGGCTCCCACTGTGCTCTCCCAGCCCTAAGCCCAGCTCTCCCTGCCAAGGTGCTGGGGATAATGAATGAGATGCTCTGGTTGTCATGGAGATGCCATGGCAACGCTGCACTTTCGGGAAATACCACGGTAACTGTGGCCACTGCTCTGGAGTTGAAAGTCACTCCTTACCCCTCACCCCACTCCGCTCCAAAATGTTCTGCTTCCCCCATAATCCTCTCTAGGACCTGGAGAGAAAGGAGGCAGAGGCCAAGGGCCTTCCAGAGACCAAGCTGTCTAGAAATCAGGACTGGG